AAGCTGTTGGACTAAATACTCACCTTACTGTGTGTGTGTGTGTGTGTGTGTGTGTGTGTGTGTGTGTGTGTGCGCGTGCACAGGGATTCACAAAACAAAGCCTGAACTGAAAGAACCAAAGAAAGCAGTTATTAAGAATGGCACTGGTTTTATTAGTACTTTAATCATAAATAGGTTTGAAATTCCTTATACTAGCCTCTCTTAGAAGTGTTTGGAATCAACCAGGAACAACCCTAGCAACAAATGAGGTATTACATTTCCTCTGTTCCAAGGAAGAATAAGAGCTCTGTACTCTACAAAGGACATTAAGAAATATTTAAGTATATAGCCAGGTCATTGTGAGGCCAGAGGGGCCGGTGGCCCATGGATATGCAGTTGACTGGCTGGCATCATCTCCAGGAAGCTGGGTCCAGGGATGGGTGGGGGTGGTGGGGGAAAGGAGGAAGGAGTGGAGAGGGGTCTGGTGGGGAGGGTGCCTCTACATTCCTGTCCTAAGGTCCCCAGGACCCCAGATCTCTGTGTGGCTGCCGCCACTGCGGCCATGTCTTCCACAGATGCCCCAAATTCCACAAATAAAGGAAAAACTGCAAGGTACCACTATTGGTTAAACATTTGTTCAAGGCTAGCTATTGCCTCCTAAGACAGATGTTAGGTTCTAAGGTCTATCAGTAAAATAAAAATCACACATATAGTCAAATGAGCCTGGAAAATCCCTCAAATCACCCAAGAGTACAGCATGGTTTTGTAAATACAACTGTATACAACATACCATCTTCCAATAAGTCTAATGTGTTTGGTTTTCCTACAGCATTTACCAGTTTGCTCTTTCTCAAGCTGAATCTCAGATGAAATAGCTGCCTCATGTTTAGGGGCCACGTTTAAAACAACAACAAAAACAAGGGGTGTTTTCCACCCACTCCCAGCATGTAAAACTATGATAATAATAAGCATGTATGTATGTATGATATAACTCGACTGTATATGCCTGACACTGTACCATGTGTCTTAAAAACATTATCTAATTGAATTTTCCACAAAAACTCTGTAAGTTATTTTCCCTTATTTTAGACAAAAAATTTGACAACGGTCACATGGCTTGTCAATGGTGACTCTGGGATGCAAATCCAGCTCTGTGTGGCCATGCCTTTCTCAAATTTTCCATAATGCATGGTTGTCCCGTGAGAGGTATATAAGGGTTCTAAAATAAAAATAATAATGCTGATGGTATTTCTTCTTAAAATTTATTTAACATAAAGAAAAATAATACCAGTATTTATTTCATTGCTCTTTTTTTTTTTCTTTTTTGCTGAGGAAGATTAGCCCTGGGCTAACATCTGATGCCAATCCTCCTGTTTTTGCTGAGGAAGATTGGCCTTGGACTAATATCTGTGCCCATCTTCCTCTACTTTATATGGGACACCACCACAGCACGGCTTGACAAGCAGTGTGTCAGTGTGCACCTGGGATCCGAACCTGCGAACCTCGGGCCACCACAGCAGAGAGCACACACTTAACCGCCGCGCCACCGGGCCGGCCCCTCATTGCTCTTATTTTTACGCAATAAACTGCTCTTAGGAAGTGGCAACCCATATCTGAGAATGACAAACAGCTGTAGGCGAGGTCACCTGATGCATGAACACAGGGCAGGAGATGTATTTCCCATGGACCACGTCATCTACTCACTGACTGCTGGGCTACCTTATATACCTTTCGTTATAATTTAAACATGCATATGCACATATATCTGTAATTATCTTTTATTTTTAACATGTTATCTCATCTCTCTAATTCACTGCTCTCCTTGTTTGGTTACAGAATAGTCTTCAAATGCTGTTGGTTTTCTATAGCACTTACTTCATCATATGGGACACCACTTTGTATTGCTGTCTATTTTGATCCAAGCATGTGTGAGCTCTTGTGCACAGGATTTTTAAGGTATTCAAAAGTTAACTACATTGGGGAAATGTCACATTACACCACTGCTACCTTCACAATTGGCAGATTAATATTTGTAATGAAGACCAGTCATGTCAATCACGTGCTTACAACTGCCAGGGGCTCTTTCCTGAACAACTGAGTGAAGCCCGGCTCCAGGCTGTTCCTGGTGCTATACAGACTTATTTCCTATGACTCCCCTCCACTCACCTAGCTTTCAGACTATAAGCCTAGCCACCTGAAGTTCTGTTCCTTTCATGTCCCTCTGTACCTTTGCTCATTCTATGTCCTTACCTGGAATGTAATTTTCTCAATATATTTCTTATTGTTATGCATGAAACAAATCTAAAAGGAGTCTGTCACTCTAGAGTGAGACAGATTAGTTAAGTATTCTGTCTCTGAGGTGTCAGACAGTGTCTTCTGCATTTCACCTTTGAATTTCCATATAAGCATACTGACAACAGTGAAAACAAACAGGGTAAGATGGCAATTTTGAACCAAGCATCCTAACCTCCAAATCCCAACAGTAAAGAACCATAGAAATATATCATAAAACTCCTGCATCAGCACTGGAAACTAGAGAAAGATATCATCTACGCACCTTTTAGACTCTGGTGAATTTCTGCTAGAGAATAAGGGAGTGGGAAAAACGGAAAGAAAATACCAAGGGTTTATCCCCAATTCCCTTTCAAAGAAAACGAAGATAGCGGAAAACTCCACTAAGGTCCTTGATACCAGAGGGTCAGGGCTAAGGGGGGCACAAGGAGCCCAGGGAGCAAGCAGAGCATTCTTCCTGCAAAGGATCAGTGACGTTAAGACATGACTGTGGGAGGAGGCCAGGGATGGTTTGTCCCAGGCACAAAGGACAGTAGCAGAAAGGGGCAGATTAGGAAGAGCCACAGTACATGCCTAAAATGGAAAATAGGCCACTCAAAACTAGACCCAGAAAGCTGGTTCTGCATTCCAGTTTCACCAAACAGAGAAGAAACTGGACACTGATGAATTTTCCCCAGTAGGCATCTATTCCTCTGTACTCTATCTGAGCTTGTGTGTCTCTGACATGTGAATAAATCTACCTTAAAGAAGCTTCCTTCCAGCTTAAGATACGAGAAGAAGATTTTAAGAGTAGTCAGGCAAAGTGAGTACAGATCTAAGCAGAATCTACAGACACCGATCCTGGGCAAATGTCAGGCCCTGATACACTTTTATCCATTCAAGCAAGAATAAGTGACAGGCAAAACACGTCCCGATCTACAAATATATTTCATAATATAAAATGGAGAGAATTGCTGCACTCGAGGGAGAACAGACATTTGTAAACTTACGACAGGAAACAGAATTAGACACGTGACAGCATCTGCCTTGAGAATACAGGAAAATTCAAGAAAATAATGATATCAGCAAGCTAATAATCCCATTAAAATATTTTAAAGCAAAACCAGCTCAAGAAAAAAAGAAACAAAGGCATATTGGGAAGCCTCTCTGAACACAGATGAAATGAACAAGGTAAAGGTGGCATTTCAATTCAGTGGGCAAATGATGGTTTTGGTAATAAATGGTGACGGCATGGCTGGCTGTCCATCTGGAAGAAAAAGACCCACACCTCACATCCGACTAAGTAAAGAAAGGTGGATCATATATCCGAGAGTGAGTGTGTGTGTGTGTATGTAAAATAAATGAATAAAATGAAATAGCCTATTTGTATAAGATTAAGGTACGGGAAATCTTAAACAAAAACAAAAACCCAGAAGCATTAAAGGAAAACATTAACGGATTATAATACATAACAATATAAAATCTTGCATGACAAAGATGATAAAAAGTCAAAAGACCCATAATACACTGAGATAAACAAACATTCCTAATAAAATACTGACTTATAAAGTGATAAGAGAAAAACAATCAGCTCAGTGAAAAAATAAGCAAAAGACCTAAACTAGCAATTCTCAGAAGAGAAAATGCAAAAGGCAAATAAACATATAAAAATATGCTCAGGGAAATGCAAATTAAAGTACTAAAGAGACAGCATTTTTTGCTTATTCAATTGGCAAAAATTAAGATTAATACTATCCACAGCTGCTAAGGCTGTGTATAAACGAGCACTCTCATACAGACTAAAATTTCACAAGTCTCAGGTAAGTAATCTGGCATTATCTACTAAAAATTAAAACAAGCATATTCTTTAAGGCAGTAATCATACTTTTAGGGACCCATCCTATAAAAACAAAAACACAAGTATACAAACCTATATGAATAACGATTGTTATTACGGCATTATTTAAAAAGAAAAAAAACTAGAAAATATCACCTTGGTGTTTACCAGGATGACAATATTTGAATGTTCTAGGGCACATCCATCCTCTGGGATACCCTGCAGCTATTACAATGAGTTAAATTTGTATATATCGCCCTGGAAGGATGCCCATGATACACTGTTAAGTGAAATGTGAAAGTGCAGAGTACTGTATAGAATATAATCACATTTTTATAAAAAAAAATAAAAGTGAACACAATATATATTTACATAGGTAAAGGCAGAGGTAAAGAAAAATATACACACTGTGCACATTGATTACCTGACAGGGCAGGACTGGAGGGGGAGAACGATTAACATTTTTCTTCATACATCTCCTTTTTGTTATCAGTATACCTAAATATTACTTCACAATTTAAGAAATTCAATACATTAAATCACCAAGAAATCTATCTGTTTTTAAATTTCAACAGGACAAATCTAGACTTCAAATTCCATGTAGTATATTTTGTAATACTTGAGAGTTTTGCTTTAAAAATTAATTTATGCAAAAGTAGTATTTTGGTCCTTGCCCTCTTGTTCTAATAATAAAATCATTAAAAAATTACATTCATATTTAAAACCAACCTCTCAGCCTCAATGTGCATTCAACGTCCAGCTTGCTTCTACCTCAAATTCTAGTTGTTTGACGTGGCTTTCAAGTTCTGAAACTATATGCACCAGAAAATTGAGAACAAAACGACATAAGTGCCCTGCAGAAATATGGCCAGTGATTAAAAATCAGGCAACAGACTCTTCTAAATAATAACATATTTATTTAGCACTTCATAAACGCTTACATATAAAAATATTCAACAGTACCCAGAGTAAAGACAGATCAAAATATGGGGTGCAAATACAGCCATGCATTTTAAGTTGAGGTTGCATTCTTCTTATTGTCTATATTTGAAAACACTTGGCAAATGAATTTTAAATCATTCTAAGAATGCTCAATCCAAGGTAAAGGTCTCCCAGTATAAATTTCTATCCTATTAGGACAATTCCAGCAAGTGTCTAAAACTTTTTACAGAAAAGACATCAATATCTCTTCTTTCGATCACCAAACTAAATCTTCTAGTGACTCTGTACTCTCCAGTTTGACACCTCAAAATATCCTCCTGAGCTAAACAGCATTCCTGTTTCTAATTTTCCTCTTAGACAGACTCTCATCTTATCCCTTGGATAACGCAGCTAACAATCCGACGTGTCTGGACTGTACGCTGGTTCCTCACGTGAGAACTGCAGTAGGTCTTGCCTGATGGAGGCTGCTGAATTGGATACAGATCTTCACAAACGTGTGTACTTCCAAAAGTTTAAAATCACACTTTGGATTTTAGATCACTTTGAATTATATGTTTCTGGATTTAAAAAGTCTTTAAGCTCCCAGGCTAAGTTTTATTCATGAGGCTTTTGTTGTAGTTGTTGACTAGTTTTCAGTTGAGATTCCAATTAGCACGGTCACTGTGTCAACTTATCTGGTTTAACTACATCCTTTATTACCAACCAAATATCTATTTATGTTGAACCCAACAGAGATTTTGGAAATCAAACCAAAACTTAGTGGTGGCTTGTTTCAGATGAGGTAATGAAGTCAGACCCCAGACTGAAAAGGCTCAATCAAGACTTGATAAGAAGGAAGCAGAACTTCCTAACTTCTCTGGAATGAGATGTCACACAGATGGCTTCCTATTTTGCCTTAAGTAGTGTTAATTCCAAGATTATCAGACACTGTATTCATAAGGAAGCATAAAATTAAACTCCAAACAGTAAAACATAAGCATGGGTTGCATTCACCAGCGCTCTGAATTTGCTATGCCACTGCTCTCTCTGAGCACTCTAGTTGCATATAAAAAATTTTTTTCACAACAGACTTGTACTTTGTGTTTTTTCAGAGCAACTTCATTTTATGCTCCAAGCAAAAGACTGCTGAATCTTCTGAGAAAAAGAAAGAAAAACAGGGAGGGATCATCTCTGATCGTGCAATGAGTTGATTCCAAAATGGAGAAAAAGGTACAGAGACGTGACTGCAATGACTCTGAAACAGTGGACGCTATAAGGAGACAGTGAGGCTTTCTGTAAAGAGGTAATTGTTCCTCTACATTATGCCCCCTTGCATACAGAAATGGCTGTGGTTTCCCATCATGGCAAGGGCTGGGCTGTCTTTCTTCCACCAAATGCTCTGCTAGCTGACAGAGACCATGGAGCTGTGAAAATAGAAATGGGAGGGAAAGGCTGGTAAAGGAGTTACTTAATGCAATGTGATCTCAGTCTACAAACAGAAGAATTAACAGCTCACACTGTCCCACAGGGAAAAGCTAATAGCCAGAAAAGGGCAAATGTTTTAATTCCTACTTTTCCAATTGTTTTTGGAAGTCAAAGATCTTCAGACAGAGACAAATGCCAAAGACTTCCAAAAGCCATCACCAGGCTCCTTCCACTAGATCTTCACCAACAGACAACTGTGTTGGTAAAGTAGAGATGTCCAGGATGAATAGAATTAGGCCCCTCTGTAATTGACAGAGTGGCTCATGCTTCCTTCTACTGTCCTATGGTCAAGGCCAAGAAAAAAAAAGATTTCTTTATTATTTTGGCATAAAAATCCTAAAGGCCTAAGGGCAGCTTATGTCCATACTTTTCAAAGCAAATCTGTGAAGATGGGGGTTGGGGAGCAGGGAAGCAGACAAAGCTCTTGAAAATTACAGGCTATGTATCTAAAGCCATAAACGCAAATTTAAACTCTGAAAAGATAAGTAGTGTGAGAATGAAAGGATTATGCTTGTTGGGATACCAGAGGACCAGTTTCCACATCAAGGGCCAAATAAAATGCCAGAGGTCCCTGACCTCTGTAGGTGCTAATGTGAGCTCTGCTCAGAACCTGCTTAGGAATCCCCACGCGAACTGGTCCCTCCACCAGGGCCATGGGCGCTGAATCAAAGCCTCTGCAGCAAGAGAGCTGGACAGGATATCTTAGCGACCCAGGAATCCATGCCTCCAACTTCCACACTTTCCTTTCAATGACAGCTATGGAGCACTCGGTGAGCGGCTGTGCAACATTAGAGCTGTAAGAACAAGACACAGGGCGGCACAGGCACACGACGGATGTTAGGGCAGAATACATTCGTGCACACGCAGAGCTAAAAGCCAATTCCAGCGAGTCTGGCAGTGATATGCCGCCATGCTGCTCACTTCAGAGGTGACAACGAAAGATCCAGCGGTACAAGCTAACCACATTTTGAATCTTAGACATTCTATTTCAGAAACTAATACCGTTAACAAGGCACAGAAGTTTAGTGTTTTTAACCATCTCTTTTTTTAAGATGTTTTCCATGGATGCTTATTGGCGTCATATGACAAACACAGTAAAAATCAAATAAGTCACTCTAAAAATAATGGTCTTGACTGAGAGTAAGAGAAAAACGCATAAGTCTTTCTCTGCTACTGTTTGACAGGCCTGTGTCATGGACTGCTCATCAACAATGTCTTTCATGTGTGTGGCCCATCAAGTCATTAAGTCCAGCTGCGTGTGTGTTCTCTGTATCTGCCAAGCCCCAGGACTCAACTTTTCAGGAAAAACATTTGCTGTTTTAATTTTGATGAAAGTTTTAATTTCAGTCTTTCTCTTAATTGTTTCAAAGTGCAAGAAGCCAGAGTTGAAAAAGTCATTCATTATCCTTTCATCCATTAATTTATACACGTCCAGGAAAACAGATCACTTTCTGGTCCATAAAAACTACATTGGTTCAAAAAAAAATTCACCACAAAGTTCCAGCAAAAAAAAACAAAAAAGAAAAAACTACATTGGCTTGTTCAAATTTCTGGGAGAGAAAGATGAGGTCCACAGCACAGCTAAACTATGGAGATGCCATAGTGTGAAGCAGGTTCAATGGACTGCACCGGAAAGATGGGATGGTGGGCACTCGAGGTCCTGATGAGAGCATCAGAGAAAAGCCAGCTGACAACTAGTCTCAGAGAACTGCAGAGCTTACGGGGGCCTTAAAAACAACCTACTCTTTCTTCTCACTTAACAGAGGAAGGCGCTAGGTCTGGGAAGGAAATCTTGCCAGTTGGTGGCAAAGATAAGACTAGAACCTCATTTTCCCATGTATCTTAACATCAGTTATTCTGACTCCAAAATAAAATGCCTTTGAAAGCATAACAGGACTGAAGATCACTAATAAGCTAAGTTTTAGAATTACCTAAAACACTAAGTTAGATAATATTCCAGTTTGTTTTAGTTACTGAGTTCTCGGCAATAAGTGCTAACTTGTATTCACACCCAGGCACTTCATTTGCCCACCTACTATCCTGACTATAGTCCCTCAAATGCCCGCATATGCAAAATGAGAATGCGAATCAGTTAACCCCCTGTTGCGGTCAAAGTGCTTTTCAGAGGCTCTTACCTTCTCTCGGTTGTATTTGGAGGACCTCATCAGAGAATTTTCTGCAAGTTCTTTGGCTGTGGCTGAACCAAGAAAGGCTTTTGAGTTCTCATTAGGTGACTGTGAAAGTCAAATCGAGTTTCAGTCAAGAACCCATTTAGCCAAGATGGAAACACTATGTCGCTTCAAGAACTGTGAGGGTGTGACTTGGTTTCAAGTCTTGCTCATGTGGTGCGTTCAGGAAGTGGCTGAGCCATCATCAAGTAACTTTCAAATAGTCAACTCTTTAGAAGGGGCAGCTTGCCAGAGAAGCACAGGATCAGACAAGAAACTGGCACCGGCAGTTGTCTGAAGTCCTGCCCAACGCACATGACAGCAAGAAACACTGACGCCTGCAGGGTTTCAGTAACATGCCATGTTCTGGGTTGTGGTGTCAGTTCTAGAATTTTGAAAAGTTTTGTGATAAGGGATTAAACTGCTGGATTTGGGAGGTAGGTTTGCAAATCACTGGAAAATCAAAAGAGAAATATATTGTATTAAAAAAAAAGTGACCCTAAGTTTGAAGATGTACGATAAAACATATGGAGCCCTAAACTGTAAAGACACACGCAGAGATTTCCTACGATATCAGGGTTCAAGCTGTGTAACCTGGCCTGCATCTTGGAATCTACGTAAGAAATGCAGCATCTCATACAGTAACTTATTCAGGGCCACCACATAAAACTCAGGACTTGTCTTTTACAATTTATCTTTAAAATAACGTATACATCAAGCAATGCAAGTTATGATTTGGTTCTTTTTCCAAAGACACACAATGTAAAAGCAAGACAAGTGGACAAATACACAAAAGCAAACACAAAAGCAAATTAGAATGACCTCGCAATCATTTCAATAGGGAACACTACGAAATCTAGTTTTCCTATTCTCCTTTAACTTAAAATTCATGATTGGGTGGCCAGAGGGCATAGGTGTGACTATAAAATAAGGATCTTGATTTTCAAGAGTGAACTGTGGAACTAGCTACATGTCTTAATCCTATTCCAGAGGCTGTTTTATATAAAAGTCATAAACAAACGAATGAGGGATTCATTGGAGGAAGTTTGGTAAGAGAATCAAAAGAATTCTGAGAAGAAATCTACTCTTTCCAATGTCATGAATTTCATGATAACACATCAGACCCAAACGTTCAGAAGCTACCCACTGAACTACCCCTCTGATCCTGGAAAACATGTAAAAAGGGCAAACTGTATGAATCAGCATTCAGAACCCACTAAACCTGATTTAAAAATACTACATTTATATTTGAGAGACATCTGAAAATTAAAAACAATTTCCCAATATTCGAGAATCTCAAAGTTAAGGACATTTATTCTTGACTGGGGAAAGATAACACTGCATTAGTTAAAGCCTAAAATACTGTTTATAATCTTGTTTGTAAACCACTTAAATTTTAAATAATAATTAACTTTGAGCTCACCTTAAGAACACCTTCCTCTGAAACTTGGCTGTTAAGAAGAGCTTTCTGGGGCAAAACATTGTGTGATTTCCCTCCCTCCAGAGTAGAAGGGAAAGTCACATACCAGCCAGATGTATGTTTTCCACACTCATCCTTTTTAACCAAGTGTTTTATTTCAAGGACTTTCTGAAGTAGCCCCCAGGTGTTGCCGACCAAGAAGCATGTCCCTGGGCCAGGAGGAATGCGTCTGGCGGCAACTCCCCCTGGGAGCAAGTCCAGCTTCTCCCACTGCCTGCGAGTGACCCACGCAAGGTGCTGCTGCTGCCTGCAGAACTGTGCGCTTCCCTGCACTAATCAGCTCTAAGGTTTAAGGAGCATCCTAGACATTACTTCTATTCTTTAAACCTGGGAGATACTTGGCCAGAACTTTTGTACATACAAAAGTGAAGAGTTTTCTCATCACCTCAGGCCAGAGAATGGCAGTGATTGGGCACTGGATGGAATGTTCTTAGTCACGTAGTGGTGGCAGCAGTGGTCGAGTAAGCCTAGAGAAGACATAAGGAGCCTGGCACAGAGAGACATAAAAGCTTCATGTCTCTAGACGATGAAGGCCCATGCACGGTGATTAAGTGAGAAGCCAAGCACTGTGCGGGCGGCCCATGGGACTCACGAACACGCAGCTCCGCTCACGACCAACCTGCTGTGGCCCTGCATGTCCCCCAGCTCCTTCTGCAGCCTGGCGTTCTTCTCCTCCTCCTCCAGCAACTTCCGCTTCACAGTGCGCAGCTCCTGCTGGGCCTCACACTTGATGTCGTTGGCTACTACCACTGCAGTCTGCAGGTCCGCCTGGAACCGCCTCCACTCCTCGGTCTCCTCCTGAAAATGCGAGACCACACCCGCGTCAGAGGCCGGCAAGGCTGACACCTGGGCAGGGGCTCCAGGGTCCCCTGCACAGGTCACCGAGAAGACTGGCCGGGCGGTCCTTAGTGGGGCACTGCTCTAATGGTATCTCACCACTGGCAAAAGGCACAGGTGGGAATTACGCCTTCGTGTTATCAGAGTTCTCCATCCTGAAACTGAACGGCTGCATTAAGTTTACTTCCTGCCAACACTAATTTGTGGTTCCAGGGCCCCAGCCACGGAAATGTACTATGAGACAGCAGGCTAGAGCAAGTAATCAGGGTATTTTTCAAAGGTTTCCACACCTAAGATGGGTATACTTCAGTAAAATGATGGAGAAGGTTCCCTGCCCCTGCTGTAACCACATCTCACCTTTATCTGCTTAGTCAGAGTCTTGAGCTGCCTTTCCAGCTCTGACTTCTGTTCTTCCAGCTTCATCACATTGCCTAGAAATAAACAAGTCAGATGGCAATTGGAAAAGTTGCAAGACTCTTGGGAGAAGGTAAGCTAGGCAGCAAAGGAGCAGCTCCAGATTCTGCAACAGGCTTTAAAATCCATCCATTCTACTATAAACTCCATTCTTAGCACCCTGAATACTGGGAGCTAGAAGTGGGAGGTTCCATCAAGATAGAGAATGGGATGATTTGGAAAATAAGTGGTGCTTGGTTAGATTACACCCTCAGATGACAGGCTGCACAACCGTGCACTATGGGAAGAGATCTCAATGGCCACTCACACTTATTACACTTACCCTTGGCCCTCCCTGATAGTCACACAATCGTCCCAAATGTCCTTTACTGCTGTGAGGTAGAGGGCTTTTGTATAACAGAGGATATGACTGGTTATTACTATTGTGGCTTTCAGACCAGTTTCTAGAGTTGTGGTTCTTAATTGCAATTAAACCTCAGAATCACTTGGGAAGCTTTTTGAAAGTGCAGATGTTCAAGCCCCAGACTCTGACCTCTGGAATCGGAATCTCCAAGCCAGGATCTGGGGTGTGTGTATTTTAACAGCACCAGAGATGACGACCACCTCTCCCTAATTATGAACATCTTCAGTCCCTCACTCTCTCTGCCTCCAATTCTCTCCAAGTTGTTATCAGTCATTTCCACTTAAATCTGGTCATGTCCATTACCTAGTTAAAATTCTTCAATGATTCCCCATGATCCATTCCAGACCAGTAGTTGTCTATTAAGGATATGAATCAGAATTACCAGAGAAGCTTTAAAAAACAACACATGGTCAGCTCCTTTCCCAGAAGTTCTAACTCAGCACGTGGGGCCTGAGAATTTGGTTTCAGGTCAATGCTGCAGAAAGAGTGCAAAACACTCTTTAACTTTTTATTTTTCTGTCCATTTCTCTCAAGGATCTTATGGGGAGGAGTGATTGAACTTGGGCTGGATTTGTGTGTCCCTGAGTCTCCTAGTGACAAGACATCTTAATACCTTAATATCCCTGACAGAAGTTTAAAAGCTTCTCAAAAGACGCACGGTCTGTGTTATTTTCAATCTTGGACATATTATGACATAACCACAGGGAGTGGGCCTGACATCGGCTCTGGACATTAATTATATGTTGGCGTCCTCAGTGTGTCTGTGCTGACCTTTAAGGATTTGGGGACAACACAACAAAATTCTCAACAGCAATATAGCACAAAAACAAAAACAAAACAAAACTTCTCTTCTTTGACTTTATACTTTTGACATATGATGCTGTGTCTAGAAATACACACTTAGAACGGCAGCGAGGTTTTTTTTGTTGTATTCTCAAGCATGATTGTCGAGAACAGTCTGAACGACACTGATACTGAATGCCCAGTTCTACATTTCTACCGCACGTCATGTCTAACAAAGAATGGAACTCTGACACTAACCCATTAATCAAGGTGTAGAATATACAGTCAATTCTCATTATTCGTGGTAGCTACACAAAGTTGACATGCACACCAAATTAGCAAATACTGAACTATTGCTCCTATAGGAAACACAAGGTTAGGTTCCTGCGAGCCTCTGGTCAACAACATTTTCATCAAACAAAACGCTATGTGCATTATAAACATTCATTTGCCAATGTCCTTGGAAAAAAAGCCTGTCCCATCAGTGCCAGAAACCTGCTCACCTACGTTACTCTTCCTGTACAACACTCAGCAGGTATTTAAAAAGATATTCCTCTGCCTCTGGATCTGCAGAACCTGCCTCACTTGCAAGTTTTTCACTTTTCTCAGCTGTGTGGCCTTTTGAATCGAGCCAGCCAGTCAGCACTGGCTGAGAAGGGTTTCACACTTTCCTGACCCTGGGAAACGTGACTGAAAATTTCTTTGGTATTTGGCTTCGTAACAATGCCGCCCACTGTTTTTTTTTTTTTTAATTGGCCGTCATCTCATGAATCCACAAATTTAGCCGCTTTTCTATCTTTTCCACAGCTTCATCACGCACCATGGATTTTACTTGATCCCTTTCTGGAGCAGTCTCATATACAGATTGGTGAATTTCCTGTTCTTTCCTCTGGAAGTTTCATTAACATTGAATGACTCAATGAACACTGTTGATTTGTTAACACTGAACTCACAGCCAACAGCACTGTAACTCGTGCTTGAACAAAGCTTATCTAACACAAGTATTTTCTCCACAAAGCACATCACAGCTTTCCTGTGCCTAGGGAAACTAGACAACATTTCAGGACTATACTTGGGGGCCATTTTAAACAATGAAATCACCAACAAAAAGCACAAAAATGCAAAAAATGTGGCACTAAATGAACCGTGAAGACACTTGTTTACGGTAGGAGAGCCGAAACAAGAAGGCGGAGAGTCACCTGTTCGAGCTGAGCTGGGAACGCACTTTGGGAGACCCGAATTTTTCATCGCCTGTACACGTCCGTGAATGACTGTGAAAGTGTCTCGAGCATTGACTTTGGGATTACAAATAAATTTTGGCAAGCAGGTGAATTCGCAAATACAGATTCCATGAATAATCAGGATGGACTGTACACGTTGGGGAACTTTTCAGGCAACCAATTATGCTATTTTTAGCAATGGGTACTGTCATTAAAAGCTCTGTGCATTCACTCTTTTGTTACAAAAGCAAAACACATTAGATGTGATAATTTGACAAGGCTTATTTGGACAAAGCAGGTAATATTTAACTAATCTCTTTTAAAAATGTCTTTCCCTATTCAAAGCAAACAATGAGTTCATAAATAAGCCATATATTGGTGCTTCTTCAGTAATGAAGTGGCCCAAGTCTATAAGTTATTTGATATTCTACCATCAATGGGACACATGCTGGAATTGTTCTCTCCCTGCGACCAAGAGCACACTGTTCAAATCAGTCTGACCATCTGTCTCTCGTCTTTCTATCCATCAGATCCAAAAGACAACACATTGTCGATACTTGACGAGTGTGGTCAGCAGTGTGGCTCACACTGTATACCTAACACTCCAAAATGTGTTTGCTCTTTTTTACAATTACCTCATACTGCTGACTCACATTCAATAATCTTTTCTTCTACATCACCCAGTTTTCAACTTAGTTTAAGAGATTAATTATTCTCTCTTTCTTAATTGCCATTTCCTAGGAAATGACAGAACCCTCAAAAGGAAGACTTTTCATGAACATTCTTACACGCCCTCCCAGCCACCCATGCTACGGTTTCCTTCACGTCCCTCTGGCTCCTCATCCACGTTTCACCAGGCCTTGATTGCACTTACTTTCTAGCTCACTGATGAGTTGATTATTATGTAACTTGACAGCTCGATGCTGTTCCACCTGATCTTCCAATTCAAATATGGTTTCCTTCATGTCTTTAATCTCTGCATCACTCTCTGATGCTTTCTCTTGCAGTTTTAGGCTGGTTCTGCTCAGCTGTTCTGCTTGATGATCACATATCTCCTTCAAGTAAGAATAATCCTTTTCCACCTAGAATAAAAGGAATGTTCCCTGGTCAATTTAACAGGTAAAAGTTCCCCATACATCAGCACTGGGCTCATCAACGCAACAGTAAAGGAAGCTCTTGGCACGTGCTGTACATGGTGTCATTTCTCTATTCTTAGACTCAGAAATAGCCAAGGCTATAAATATTCAGAGAAACATGATGTATGTGAATGGCCAAGTGGGTGGATTCTGTGCCCCTTCCTACCGTCATAAAGAAAGCTGCCGGTACTTAAATACCTTTCTTTCCCGCACCTGGCTGGAACAGTGCTTCACTGGGAGGCACCAGTACTGCGCCAGGAGAGCTGGCCAGGCTGCCTGGGTGAGGCTGCCCCACCTCACATCTGCTGTGGAGCAGCGCCCTCTGCTGGTTATCCAGGAACAACGCCCCTAAGACCTGACAGGTCCCCTACAAACTCCACATCTCTAGCCTTAAAGTACTTGTGGTTAGTGTTTCTTTAGAGGAATACAACATTGATGTGATAGAGAACGCCAGCTGAAGGCACAGAACATAGAAATGTCCATGCACCAGACACAGAAAAGTGGCAGAGCACAGTCACTCATTTCACCTTTTCAATTTTTAATCATTAAACATTTTAAATACTATACAGAAAAGCACCAAAAGTGACAAGATAACCAGGCACCCAAGGAGACTTAACAATGGTTAAATTTTGCCGCATTTGAAAAACCTTTTTACTTGAACGAGATTTGTTAAAGCCTAAAACCTTCCCTCCCACCCCAGAGAGTAATATACATTATCCTAAAATTGGTGTGAGGTTGTTCCTTGAATGGTTTTTCACTTTTACAATACATACATGTGCCCATGATAATACACAGTACTGTTCCGGATTTTTAAAAATTTTTACACAACTGATATTATATTATGCTTTTGCAATGTAATGTATTATTTACCATACTGTATTACATGGTAATATGTTTTTGTTCTATACTATACTATGCGTATTATGCTTTTGTAACTTGTTTTTAACTATGCTTTTGAGATGTATCCATACTGATACACTTCGCTCTAGGCCATTAGTTTAAACGCTGCATAGTGTTCTATTGTCTGAATATACTGATGATTTATTATTATGAACTATGCCCCTTTTCTATAGTCCTTTAATTAACGTTACTAAATAGCTGTATATTTACTGAGTAATGTAAGCTTGATACCTAATAGATTTCTTCCTAGATTAGGGGGGAGGGGTGTCTCCATATACAATAAAAATTTTTTCTAATTGCACTTAATGTGCAAAACCTCTGGCTGTAAGCTCTATGGGGACAGAGGCCCTGTCTGCTTTCTTCACCACTGTCTCCCTGGTGTCAATGCAGTGACAGACACATAGGAGGCACCTAATAAATATCTGATGAATGAATAAAGAAACATTAGGAGGCAGTATTGCACTGTTTTTCAATTGGGAGGTTGTGATGAAGAATAAATAAAGAAGGAAGGAAGGGAAGGAGGGAGGGAATACAAAGAGAGAGAACCAGCGTGGGAAAGGACCAGAGCACACTGCCTGTGTTAAGGGTGAGCACTGTTCAGTGAAACTTGTGTTGCAATTACAAAGGTATGTGGCTCGGTACTGCAATATAAAATACATCATTGCAGGTTGTGCTCAAAATCTGAAGGCTGCTGCGGTACATCAAAGTGGCTAAGGGCGCGGACCTGGAGCCAGACTGCCCGAGTTCAAAACTGATTCTACCAAACCAAGCCCTGTATTCTTTAATCGCTCTGCCTTGGTTTCCTCATCTGAACAATTAAATGAAATAATGCACTTACAGTTTATCACAGTGCTTGGCACATGGTAAGCACTCAATAAAAGTAATTATTTCTCTCATAATTGTCTTATGTCTTAGTGCATACAATATTAGATAATAACGTAATACAGGTCCAAGAAAATTACAACACGTGGAAAAGACCAAATGCCTCATATTTCACAACAGCTCCTTCAATAAACAGAAGGCGACTCTGCAGGAGAAAAGAGGCTGCATTTTAGATACGGGAAGACCGACGACGTCTGACGGCATGTGAAAGGCAGCCACAGAAGGCCGCCTGTGAGTCTCGCATCCAGAGTCAGACCGTGGCTTTCTGCAGAGCTGGCCGGAACCTTAGGCTGAGGCTGCTCGCCTGGAGCCTAGAAACATGCTCATCACTTGGCTGAGACCAGTGCAGGTCAGGAGCAAAACCGGAGGGTGTAACCAGGTGACCACTGGAAGGTCTCTGTGTGCAGTCGAGGCTGCTGGCCTCTCAGGGGCTCTGACCCCCCTCTACTTTGTACGTGTTGGCTCGTCATGATCACAAGCACCAAATGGTAAGCGCAGGAGGGGGGCCACGACGGTGTGGACTGTGGGCTGGTGGGGTCGGTAAACCTATAAATTAGTATACTGTTTCAAATTACACACATCATTCTTCCTTCTTGGTTTTGGAATAAGTCTCTCAACTTTAGCAATATATTCCAGAAAGGTATTTAAAAAAACAAACAAAACAACCCTTAAGTAGCTTCACAACTTCTTCCCGTGGGAGCCTGCTAGGTAATAACAGGTAGGTATTTTTATATTCATTTTGCAGATTAACAAATGGAGAAAGGGAGAAATTAAATCATTTGCAAAGAACAATCCAACTTATCAAGCAGCTAAGACCAACACCCTGTACTCTGATGGCTGTTAGAGTTCTAGGTCGCCTTCCACATCACCAGCCTTTCTGCTGGCCAGTTCTTTTGAGTCTAGCTTCTCTAGTTCAAGAATTGCACTACCAGACACCCAGCAATGTGATTTCCAATGTTTCTCTCTAAAAAAAGAAATCACTGGCTGGCCCGGTGGCGTAGTGGTTAAGTTTGCATGCTCAGCTTTGGTGGCCCGGGGTTTGCAGGTTTGGATCCCAGGCGCAGACCTACACACCACTTGTTAAGCCATGCTGTTGCGGCGTCCCACACATAAAGTAGAGGAAGACGGGCATGGATGTTAGCCCAGGGCTAGTTTTCCTCAGCAAAAACAAGAGGAGGATTGGCAACAGCTGTTAGCTCAGGGCTAATCTTCCTCAGAAAAGAAAAGAAAAGAAAAGAAAAGAAAAGAAAAGAAAAGAAAAGAAAAGAAAAGAAAAGAAAAGAAAAGAAAAGAAAAGAAATCACTTGGGGCTGGCCTGGTGTTGTAGTGGTTAAGTTCGGTGCGCTCCGCTTCAGCAGCCCAGGTTTGCGGGTTCGGATCCCGGGCACGGATCTACACTACTCGTCAAGCCATGCTGTGGCGGCAACGCATATACAAAATAGAGGAAGACTGGCACAGATGTTAGCTCAGGGCCAATCTTCCTCACCAAAAAAAAAAAAAAAAAGGAAAGAAAGAAATCACTTTCATGCATTCCAAGCACCTCTCATCTTCAAAAATCAACCTTCTCTAGAAATGGGGTATGCGGAATTATATTACAAATAGATTCAAATGAATTTCCCAGGAGCATCAGTCCTCCCTAGAGACGGGGCAGTTAAAGCCGGTCCTTGAAGCTCTGACAACCAACAAAGGCAGATGGCAGCAGAGACCATTCAGGACTCTCCTGCAGGGCTCAGCCTTTTCACGAACCTTCTGGGAGCAGCATGCAAAGAAAGGCAGGGCAGCTCTGAGACAGACCAGGCTAGAATCTTAGCAAGTGTCACAACTTTTCCTCTGGCTTGTCAGACACTGAAATTGAGGAAAAGGTACCGTCCTAGGTGTGGTTCCCAGGGAAACACACTCTGAGATGGAAGTATACTGAGGAGCGTTCTGGGGATCCACACCGGTAGGAGAGTGAAGGAAGCAAGACTGGGCAGGAGAAGAGGAACTGCAAGGCAGGCACAGCAAGGGCCTCGGCTAATCCCATGGGCATCGCTGCACCTAGGATGCCCGTCAGAGTCGCCCCAAACTGAAGCAAGGGCCTGGGCCTTTGTCCCTCCCCACCACAATGGATTAGCCACTGGGTGCAGCCACCCTGGGGAAGGGTGCAACCCTCGGGTAAGGCAGCTTTCCTCACAGACGGCAAGCCCTGGAGGGGGACTCCAGCTGGGTAGTCAGTTGCCATCACTCCACCACAGCTGGGGGAAGGAGTGCTTCAATCCTGGGGGTGCCCTGTGGGTGCACCCCCATCCCCTGCAGATATGACAAAGCCTTCCTGTGCTGGCTACAGTGGTGCCACAGACACATCCAGATTCTCTTCCATGGGAAGTGAACAAATGGCCTGGACGGTTTTACCTCTAGACAATCTGACTATAACAAATAAAGATCATCTGAAAGAGCGGAGAATGGTAAAAAGAAGTTAGGAATCCTACCTACCCGTCTCCAATAATGTGTCCTCCTCTGACGCCTCTGAGACTCTTTGCAAACCTCAGCAAATGTAAAATGCATTAGTAGAACATCCTGGTTATACACATTTTTACTGCCTCTCAAGATACGGGAGGGGCAAAGGGAGATCTTAGGCATAAGAAGGGAGGTGGCTCCTAGACTTGGAGGCACTCTTGGCTTCAGCATTTGTCTGTGGCTGGATCGGCAGGTTCTGAGAGCAGCCTGGCTTGCAGGCCTGGACATCCTTCCCGGCTCCTCTATTTGCACGTCCAACTGACAACTGTCCCTCCTCAAATCTGCTCCATGTCATATGACCCCTCTCTAGTAAACAGCACAACCACATATTCAGTCACACAGCTAGAGGTCTGTGAATGATCTGAACCCCCTCTTTCCTGCACACCCCCAATATCAGTCACCAAACCCAGTGAAGCCTGCTTTCGAGCCCATGTTCCCCTCCTACCCCACCCCCTGTTCAGGCCTTCATTCTTTCTCACCTAACTATGGACAAAGTAATCTTTCTAAATGGCAAATGTGATCCTGTAAATCCCATTTAAATGTCTTCAGACCAAAAGCACAATTAACAACAAAAAAAAAAGGTAAACTGGATTTCATCTAACTTAAAAACTTTTGTGCCTTATAGGAAACTATCGATATGGTAAAAAGATAACCCAAAGAATGGGAGA